GGAATAATCCCAATGCAAGTAATTAGGAGAAAAGAAAAAAAGAAAAAAAACTTGAAAAAACTAGTCATACGTTTCCGTCTGTATGTGGAGTGATTGTGGTTCTGTTTAAGAGTCTGACAGCCCAAGGATAGAAACTATTTTTAAACCTATTTGTTTGGCTGGCTATGCCTTGATGGCTTCTGCCCAATGTTAGAAGTGCAAAGAGACATTAACCAATTTGTGAATCATCTCTGAGTATCTTCCTTACTCTGCTAAAGCAGCGAGACCTGGCGATGTCATCCAGTGGTGTTAGAGGGCAACCAATGGTTACTTGTGCTGAATTGATCATTCTCTGTAGTGCCTTCCTTTCTGCAGCAGTTAAACCAGCATACCAAACTATAATACAATATGTGAGGACACTTTCTATTGTGAACCGATAGAAAGAGGTCATCGGCCATTGTTCCACCTGATTTTTTTTTGCAGGACTCTAAGGAAATGAAGTCTCTGTTTGGTCTTGCCAATCATCAGGGATGTGTTGTTTTTCCAGGTGAGATCTTGACTAATAAGCACTCCCAAGAATTTAAAAGGGGAAACCCACACTCTTTACACAGCCCTCCTTGATATACAATGGGGCAGGTTCCTCTCTGTGCTTCTGGAAATCTATCTAAAGCACTATCTCCTTTGTCTTACTAGTATTTAGATGTAAGTTGTTTTTTGAGCACCATGTGGATGCCTTATGAACTTCTTCCCTGTATGCTGATTCTTCCCCTCCAGTTATAAGACACAGCACAGTTGTGTCATCTGCAAACTTTATTATGAAGTTGGATGGATCAGAGCAGTGGTGGGTTTCAAAAATTCTTCGAATCTGTGGGTGTGGCCTCCTTTGTGGGAGTGGCTTGCCGCCCATGTGACCGGATGAGAGTAGCTTGCCACCCATGTGACCGGATATGAAGATGCCGATGACACTTGTCAGAACCACCTTAAATTACCTCTCACACAGCACTGGCATGCATAAGAATATGATGTAAACTTGTTTTTTAAAAGGCATCTTTGGTTTGCGTTAAAACAACGTCACCACACGCAATGTTCTGATTGCACCACAAATGTAGTAGTCATCCTTACCTTTCACAGAGCCACTGAGTTTTATAAATATGAGCATGATAGTGTAGAATAATCATATCTAAGGACCAGTTGTGGGTTTCAAAAATTTTTGGAACCTCTTCTATAGGTGTGGCCTGCTTTCCGGGTCCATTGGTGGAACCTCTTCTAACTGGTTCGGTAGATTTGACGAACCAGTTCTACCGAATAGGTGCGAACTGGTAGGAACCCACCTCTGGATCAGAGGATATGCAGTCATGTCTATACCTCGAGTACAAGTAGGAATATACGCCAGGGGTGTGTTGCTGCTGGCATTACTGCCGGTTTGGTGCACATTTGCATGCTCCGTGCACATGCACATTTGCAACTAAAAAGGTATGCGTATGTGCAAAATGTTAGAAAAGGAAAAAAAGTTACATCTCTGAGTTAAAATTGTTTTGCACATGTGCAGAACTGAAAATCAAGATGGCGTCATCGTCGAGAACCAGTTCAGGAGTGTGGCAGGCCTGGGTCCCTGCCGGTTCAAGCAACCCAGGTCACCAAGTTAGTACCGGTTTGACTGAAACGGTGAGAACCAGTAGGAACCCACCTCTAGTGAACATCTGCCATTGATTTACCATCACGGCAATATAATGTCATTGGTTTAATGCAATCTTTGATAAACTATCAAGAGTTTACTCATGAGATGCAAAATAATTCATGCAGTTGCTGGAAGCCGTTCCTTTCTTTTAAAATTATTCTCTTTATCAGGGCTTATATCGAAATGAGAACATCATTGCATAATTTAGTATAAATAAAATATAACATATTAAAAATCACTTTCACATATCACATGAATTGAAAATGTTGTTGTGAGTTTTATTTTTCCTTCTACATTTTGAGATCAGTGGATATTTTACAGGAGTGTTGCATTGTTAGTACCACCATATATTGTAGTGTACTGATACAGTAGTCAAATCATATTGCTGGTCAACATTCCAAGAATGTTGTTTAACCATGGATGAACAGTGTGTTTCTATGCACTGCTTACTTGGGTTTCATGGCCTTTTTTTCCTCAGGAACAATTTAATGATTGGTAACTCTGACCAGAGTTATACAAAAATCAAGATACTTTTTTTTAACAATCTAAGAAACCAGGTTCTTTCAGATAAATCCTGTTTGGGGATATTTTTTATATATTGGAATAGTTAGCATGTTAAGTAACGTGCTCTAATCTTTGTTTTTTTTAAATGGAGCTGTTTTGGATTTTTTCAGGTTTTCTACAAACAGGGTTATTGGAAATAAAAGCTACAGTAGAAGTTGATCTGTAAGGAGAAGCTAACAATGAAGTAAATGTTTATTGCAAATATTTATGGTTGATTTTAGTGGAGGGTTTTGGGTGAAATGATAGCATGAATCAGATTCCTTTGGTTCATTGACAGTATGATTTGGTATGTTTAGCCAGAGCCGAGGTGGCGCAGTGGTTAGAGTGCAGTACTGCAGGCTATTTCAGCTGACTGCTATCTGCAGTTTGGTGGTTCAAATCTCACCAGCTCAAGGTTGACTCAGCCTTCCATCCTTCCGAGGTG